AAAAGACGTCTATATCCTGCATGTGCGCCTGTTACTATAAAAGGCATACATAAGTAATTTTAAGGACCGTAGCGATTATCCTGCTGCGCTAACCATCCAAGGCTTGCACGGAAAGGCCAGTGTTTCCAACGCTTTGCTGAAACGAGTCGGTGGTGGCCCCTGCCCGTCGCCTTGCGTTTTACACCTTATCATCTCTGAGGTAGGCCCGCACATCGGTCTTAGAGCCACGTGCTTTGTTTTTGGAAAAAACAAAAACTGCCAGATGGCGGTCATGTCTCACTTCGGACGTGATTTTATGCGATCGTTCGCCTCCGCTGCATGCTCGAGGCACTCTAAAACACACTGGCGGCGCTGTGCTCTCCCAAGGGCCGCGCGCCACTAAATAACACGTACAAACATGCTAAACAAACGAAACTAATCAATACGTACAAACATAATAATCATGATATGCGTGTCACGAAGAAGATGACTTTAAGCTACGATCAAAGTGCGCTCACGGCCATTTCGCTAGCTTAACGCATACCAAATTTAGTATTACGTGATGCGGATGGACAACGAACACAAATTCCAGGCACATCCATGATAATCATGATATGGAAGATATGTAAGGCAGAAATTACCTCCGCCTCGTAATGTTGAGTTGATGTTAAAGTGGCATATCAACCTTCCTCAGTTGTGCTTCGCATAATGTCGATTCCCACTGTACGTGGGATCTGCTATTTTTTTTCTTTTGTGAGTGTATAATAATGCACCAGAATATTTTCAAATCGCAGTCTTTATTAATCGCTGGCACTCTGGGCGGTAAAGACGTCTTGCCTGATATGCAATCCCACTGAAATATCTTTTGCAGCCACGATTACTGACCGTTATTGAAGAGTTTCTAACTCTGAGATCATAATAGGTATTCCAACCTAGAAAGAAAAATGGCCAATTTTAAATACTTTTGACATGTTGCTGGTGGATAATTTTTAAACAAAAGAGTAATAACACGTCAGTAAAAAGTGAGAATTTTCAATGTTTTTGTTTTTGTTGCTTCTCATAGCAAGGAGAAGGAAGGAATAACGACAAGAGATAACGCAGCGACGTTGACCAAGTATTGTCCAGTTTGTTACCTACCCTGCGGAAGAAGAAAAAAAGGAGTACACAGATGAGAGAGTGAGAGAGAAAAGGGGAGGAAAATGAAGGATAGCATTTTTTTGCCGACGACTTCCTTAAATACAGACTTAACGTAGTGTCGTATTTTATATTCCTTTATTATCCCGAGAGAGGCTTACCGCCAGCTGAAAGTGGTGCGTATGAATAACTCGCCCTTATTGCGCTTTTGTGGCTCAGTGGCAAACGACGCGCACGAGACAGCGAGAGGTGGACCATTAGATAGCGCACGGCAAGAAGTATTTTTCTTACGCAGTTTGTCGCTTTTATATATATAACTACATACAGGGCGCTTGAAGAAATCTGCCCAGTACTGTTTAAAAATCCGCTGAAGACGCCGTTTTCTTACCGTATTCACGAATTAATCAGCAGCCGTGCTGCAGACATGCTAAAATATTAAATATTCTGTTTAGAACAGTAATTAGGAAAGTTAAAATAATTACCTATTTATCAGTGAAGTTGGGCAGTTAAGTCAGATAAGAGAATTGAAGTCCTTCAAGCGATTGCTGCTTTAAATTTTTGAAAATCGGCCTCTTATAATAATTCAGAAAAATTATTAAAATTTTCTCCAAGTCTGCGGTGAAACTGATACCGAAATATGAAAGAGTGCTACGTAAACGAGGGAGTGTTGTTATGTCAACCATCAAGCGACTTCGTTGTGTGTGTTTGCGTTTCAAACAAATGCTTGCTCGAGTAAACATAGCACAGACTTTCCGTTTTAAACCGTTCTTCTAGCACCCACGTCGACACCCATTTCAACCGGGTCAGCGCCGTGCGCGTCACTGCTGCTTCGCATCTCATCAGGGTTCCCTTCGGGGAGATGGTTCATTGTTTTTGTTTCGAACAGTATTGGGCACATTTCTTGAACACTCTGTATACTTATACGTAGCATGTCAGTGTTGGCAAATGGCATCGATAAGGCCAACGCCAGAAATCAGCTGAGAGTGTTCATATAGTTGATAAAAAATTATGTATTCATCAGCGTTCTCTGTTTGTTGTTTAGACCAACGTATCTGTCCTAGTTCTCGTCTCTCCGACATAAAAGTTTCCTCCGGGAATGTCAGTTGCGTAATATGTACGCGATTGTAACTGTCAATCAAGAATGCTAAGCTTTACTCCTTGAAAAAAAGTTTCAAATACTCATTGCTTCTGCTTTAATAGAGCAATATCCAGTTAATAAATTTAGCCATTGAAACCACGAAACTTGCAACAGTGCCAGTCACATTTCTGCTATGTCCACGTTGTCAGAACATGAAACTGTCCCAGTATCTCTGTTACTCTCTCGTGTTCATGCAACTCTGTAGAGAGTACCATTGTGAACTTTTCGTATCTTGTACTACTGATATTAGTGACGCTTGCGAAGTGACCGTCAAAATAGGTGTGTGAAGAGGAAGCTCTCTGGATCATAGCGATAATGCGCATGTACTAAAAAGGCGACTAATTGTACTGCCAATTCTTGCGCACAGAATATACCCGGCAGTCGACTGAAGTGTTTTACTTGTGCACACATCTAAGCATCTAACGTAACAGCGGAGCAAGTTATTCACGGCTATAGGTGCTGCTTGACAGCACGCACAACTTATATATGTGCGCGTAAAGTCCAACGTTTTCAATCACAGTAGCAACAAATAGCGCTAAAATTGGACACTACACAGGCTGTGCTAAAATTTCCCAATAATTTTGTATCACACAATTTCTATATGCCTTCTATTTCCGTTAAAATAAAAGGCTCCTTGCTGGATTGACATTTTTCATTTTTTAAATGCAGCTGTTTGCAAGGTTTGATAGAATTTCTTTTTTATTCGAACTATATATGGTGCCGGCATTGATTCTTCTGAGGCGTGAAGCATTCGAATGAACTTGTTCTCTTTTATCAGATGTACTCTCCTCGTATGCAGTTTTGTCACCTGGGTCATGAGTCGTAGGAAAGCACCAGTGCGTGACATCTGCTGGTATACTTTGTCTGTTACCTCACAGTTATGAAGAGTGTTACTTGAAAAATATTCTTGACAACGGTCGTCGTGAAACTTCGAGAAGCTTTATTGTGCACCTAAAATAGTTACGTTGCATGGCTTAGAACCATGTCTTCAGAAAAAAAAAATGTCATGATTGGTTTGTTAAGCGTCCAACCTAACTTTCAGTGAAAACAAACAAAAAAGAGTTGTCATAAAAAACTTCTTTGAACTTAGCATCATGATTGGGCTGCTTATACAGAGCAAGCACTAAACTAGGCAGGCCATTTTCAATATTAGTAGAACTCATTTTCGAATTTTTCTTGATCAGCAAGTTCAGAAAAGCCTAACAAAAAGCCACGCGAGTGTGTTTTATTGAAATATTTATTCAGAGAAGGCTTTCAGAACCGAAGCAGCCATGTGAATGTATAGTAATAGGTTAAATGTTTCAGCTAGAAACAGAACATACGGTCACTAAAGAGGGGCCTTAGGAATCGATAAATAGATAGCTCAAGTAAGATAGCTCCAACAGCAATACTTTTTTCCTCTAGAATGCCCTCTAGACACTGTTAATAAATGTGAAGCTTTTCTTTGGCTACTGCGAGCACTTAGGCGTCTATTTATCTGTCTATGTAGGCGCGTACATCTGGCTACTCTCGTGATCACGTCTCTAACTTTAGGTAAACCAAAATGAGTATGAGAGGCTAAGATGGTTTGACTGAAATGACTCGCTGGTTATGACGCGAATAATGTCAGAATACGGTCGCGCACGTCGTCAACCGACATTTGCCAGACAGTGGCACATACCCGAGTGTGGGTACCTGCCACAGGTGATTGAAAAATTATGAAAAGAGATGTCAGGTTTTCAGCAGGAATCGAACCCCAACGTTCTGCTTGGCAACCAAGTATTCTATCACAGAACCATGCCAGGTATAGGCAACTGCGTTTCAATTAAACCGTAATGTTCGGGAAGCATCAATTGGGGATGCTGTGATGGCTATCCTTGTTTTATGACATTACATATGTACTCCTGCGATGCAGCCGCATGTTGGGATTAGGGTGAACGCAAAGCACTGAAGGTTATTCAAATTTCATATCAACCAATGAGCGGTGCGAATGCACAGTTGTAATTTTAGATCGAGAGTCGAAGAAAAAAGGAGCATCTTCACAAAGTGAATCACAACAAGTAGGCAAAGATATAGGTTCGAAGGTCCATAATGTCTGCGTTGAGGTCACCGACTAGTATAAAAGGTGGACAGAAGGACGGTAAGGCGGACGTATGCACTGGACAGAAAGATAGACAGATGGACTGACGAACAGAAGCAGGGATCGACGGACAGTCTCCGCATTTGAACTGTTCCTCGAGTAGACTGTAATCGTGAAAAGCCGATTGTGGTTTCACTGCTGGCTATCCCATCTTTAAACAGTACATACGTACTCCTACAATACAGCCGTCATGTCGGCTTTAGGACAATTGAAGTGAAGTGCCATTTAGTGAAGCTCATTTATGTAGCACTGTCCACGGTCGGCATCCTCGTGGGCACAAGTGCTACGTATAAGCTTACCGCTTCTAGTGACGCTAATAACTATGTTGCTGTTGGCATCTTCAGGTAACTGTAAACATGTGACTGCTAACGTTCTGCCTATGTGTACAACATTTGTAAATATCTTTAGGGTCCTTTTTTAAAGTGTCGCTTAATGAAAAAATACAACACAGCCACCTTCCCTGCACATGCTTCGATTACATCGATTCTCAAAATACGTGAGACCTGCCGAAGTTTTTCGGGAATGTATTAGGTGTTTGGAAAATAGAAAAATGCATCAAAACATACCCCCAGTCAATAATTCCATCTTGATAACGCCACAGGATAAATTGTGAGCTGCGTAAAGCAGGGTTTCTACACTGTACGGCATCATAGCTGAAATAAGAATGTACATGAGCCAAGGTCATCATCAGCGATTAATAAAACTCTACTTCCTTGAATCTATATGCCTCTATATCCCAAAATAATTAACGTCGATTTACACCAAATTTACATTTAGGAATTTTCATCTACGTGTTCACCACCCCATTCAAACGAACCATGTTTTTGTTCGAAAAACGTTTTCAAACGCATTCTGGTGAGGGTCAAGGAATGAATCATTGATAACATGTGCGAATTGAGCATCGCATGGTTCTCACGTTTTTCGAATGGTCAGAACGAGAGAAGTATCATGGAGGGAGAATATAGTTATTATGCAGGATGTGAAAGTAGTATATATTGTGAAAACGACAAACGACTACGTTTGTTTTGAGATAAATCTAGCTAAAAATATGAAAGCGATTATCGTTTTACCAGTGTTAGATCCTGAATACAAAAAACGCGTTTTCTAGGCAATGAGTAGCTTAAAATGTTCACTGAGATAAATGAAGCTCAAAGTGTTTTGTGAAAATTCGCTTTGAAATACACAGGTTCCGTATTTGTGTAGTGTGCTAACAAGAAACCACGGCTGCAGCATCGAGCATCTGAAACGCTTCTGAAGAAAACCACAGTGAAGTGGATCTTCTGTTTTCTGCAGAAATATCACCTTGAACCACGCTTCACAGAGTTTCAGTTTATTGTATCAAACCATTTCACTTTTTCTCAGACCCCCGCTATGCTTTTAAACCATAGACCTTCTTTTAGGCGCAAATACTTTCTTGTGATGCTTCACCACCCTCCCTGAGCTTATCAAAAATTAGGAAGATGAAGCAAGTGAAGTGGAGATTGAAAATGTTTGAAAGGCAAGTACGTAGAATTGTTTTCACTGGGATGATATGTCGAGCCAGCATCTATATATAAATAAAATAATGGTCCTTAATGTTGAAGTCCTATATATATGACCGTGCTATAGGTTCAGCTGTCGTTCAGCAATCTTCTATCTACTATGGCCTTTCTCATTTTTGTAGTGATAGATTGTGTAGTATGATTTTAATTGAATGCAAAAAAGTATATTTACTGCTAATGGTTGTGACATGCATCCGACTTGGCTCTCGGCGAATGAAGTCTCCTCGGTATCGGAATGCTGTACCTATATTTCAAAAAAATAACATGATATCAAACACACGCGTACGTATTCAAAAACAAAAAAAATATACCTTTGCATGCCATGGAAGAAGGTCGTGTTGTAAATTATCGTTTGCCGGTTTATATCGCGCATTAAACTGAACTCGCATGTGGAGATCCCGGGTTCTGTGCTTCTCAGCGTCCAGACATGTTCAGATGTATTCACAAACTGAAAGAGTTAGAGAAAACTAAAATATTTAGGAAGGACTGTGAAGCCACCGACGCTGAAAGCGTACACTTATTCAGCTATGTGGTCCCAGTCCTTCATTCACTTTTTGAGCGCACTCAAAGCAGAAATGTTCTGAATGTCAAAAGATGGCATCATGCGCGAACATTTCTCTGAAGAGACTCACATGTCATCGGCCTTTAATGAGAAAAAGAGTGTAGCGAAGGACAGTGCATGCAACATATGCAAGTAAAGCACTCGGCAGTGTCATGACAGTGTCATGACAGTGTCATGCCAACACTACACTTCATTTCCTAGGGTTGCAATACAAGAAAACATGTAGTCTAGTGCTTGTGACGGTAGATAACCGTGCAACTAATCGCCTGTTTCGATTACAAATACTATGTCCGATCAAATTGTACGATAGCTTAATGGAACCGCGAGTACGTGTAATTACACGACTCAAGCAACAGAGAGTGCAGGCCCGGTTTTCTGAAAAGAGCAATAAAGGCTAAGAGAAAATATACCCTTGCAATGATTGTGTCACGTGGTCGTGACGTTGACAAAAGCAGCAGTCGATGTCTTTGGGCAGAACTTGTTGCCATGAAATGGAAAGCCAGATTTCAGCAACGAATAGATGCTGTCATTAACGCAAAAAATGTCGGTCGTCCGAAAACGGAAAAGTTGCGAAGCGTGTAGGCATTTATGCATGCGCTGTCGAATATTACAGAGTTATTTATAGTGGCCACATTAGTTTAAGAAGAAACAGTATTGTTCGCGTTGCACGCTAAATCACTGCAGAGGGTTCTAGGATTATCTAGATGGTTCTCAGCCACATAACACTAAAATGTCAGCGTCCGCATGTCAGGCGCTCTACCAACTTCTCTCCGACTCCAACTCTGCAAGACCGGGATGATATAAGCGCGACGGTACCCCGAGTGGTCAGCGAGCACTGGTCCGTCGGTCAAGGGACGCACTAGCAGCTGTTCAAGCTTTAGGCTGAGAGCCCCACCCGACGTTTCTTATTAGTTGAAACAAGAAGTTTTCTTCTCTCTTTCTCTCTCTCTGTCATTGAGCATGGTTTGGGCAACGCAGCAATTACACGTGTAATGGGCCAATAGCATAAAGTTGTGAAAGGAGTTTTACAATAACAAACCAGTGAGCACAAATGCTGGTATGTACGTAAAAAGAATCTTTCTCTGAAACGTGTTCTCTCCAGTTAAGAACGCATAACTTCAGGTTTGGTAGTGCCTGCCACAGAGGAAGAAAGTTTAAGCGGAAAGACAGGGAGGTTAGCCAGTTCTTAGACCGGCTGGCTACCCTGTGCTGGGGAAAGGGGTGTGGGGAATGATAGATGTTAAAAAGAAATGTTGCGAAGAGAGGGAGAAATTACAAAAAAAAATGCGACAGAGGAAAGGCAACATCAAAGAGTATAAGACACTAAAGTCTGTCTCTGAGGCCAGTTGTCCGCAAAAAGCGCAGCAAAGCTTTCAAAGCCTTCTGAGCTGAGGATGGGCTTGGCCAATGACCCAGAATCCTTTGTTCCGACAAAGGCCGATTGTCTAGTCTATCCAGAGCTGCAGTGAGCTCTTGTCTTTGCACGTTGAAATGGGTGCACTCACACAGAAGGTGCGTTCGCTTGCACGTGACCTCACACTGGCACAGTGGAACTCGACAGACTTCACAAACGCGCGCCTGCATAACTTGGATCCCGATCTGCAGCTTCGTCTTCCCTCAAGGATATCTCGAGCTGAGGAGACTCTTCTATGCCGCCTGTGGCTTGGAGTGGCCTTCACGAACGCATACTCTTATCTCATCGGGATGGCCAGCTCTCCTACATGCACTTACTGCAGTTGCGAAGAAACCATCGCCTGCCACAGACATACCTACAGGGAGGAGGGGAAGCTAGAGGGCCCTAGCCTCCATCGAAAAAAGCTAAGGGTGCTTCCCCCGCCCCCCTTCCCCTTTTGACTGTGGTGGTTCTTAGCTGCACACATGGAAACCAACGAATGGGGAAAAAATTTCTTGAACGCAACAATCGCCTAATTGTGTAATAAAACTTGTACTACAATTTTACTCTGCATACTATACTATCTGTATCATGGTCACGTAATGCAGCCTCTCTGCGGCACCACCTGCCTATGCAGCGCCTTCACGTCTTGCGCTGGAGCATTGCAGATTAGACCTATTCATTTTTCTCTCCTTCTTTATAAACTCGAAGCTCACGAAGGATCTAGTGTGGTGTGGCCCTCTGGCTCGTGGGCCGCTTCCCGCCTGTAAACTCTCTACTAGGTAATACTACCACCGTGTAGCTACACATATTCCTGTACTATATATTGTGAAAATCAGTTGGACCCTGTTAACACACAGAAAAAAAACGCCAGGCCTGCACGCCAGGCGTAGCACAGTCACAGCGAAAGCTAGAAAAACTGTCCTTTCAGAGCCTTTTCTAAACACTCATTAGATAACTGCTGCAAGCACACTTGCTTGATGCCCACTACGGCATTGAGATTAAATATCAGGCTGGTAATCGGTATGCTATTTTCCGCCATTCTTCTGAGGAACGTGGTATCCGCTGACCTATTAGGAGAAACTTTGTGCCAATTGTTCATGCAGCTGAAGACGATGTGGAGTTATGCCGGACGTTGCTATGCGCCACAGTTATTAGCTGGGCAAAAATAAGCTTTCGTAATGGGTTGGGGCAATGGACGAGCCACTGCTCGTCCAATGTGCGATGACGAACCAATGTGCGATGACTGCTTTCTCTCTCACTGTTGTCAAACGCTTTGTATTAGCGCAATTGCTTTCGCGACATCAAGCCTGCCTATGGCAAGTTTGCCAACAAGTCCAAGCACCGGCATAGCTATTGGGTAAAATACGGGGCTGGTACCCAGTGAACCCGGGTTCGAGCTGCTTTGTGTCATTGGTACTAGGTTTCTCTCTCTAACTTCGCGCGGTGTGGTTACAGACCAGCGGCGGTGGTGGACAACTACGGCGCTGCGCATGACCCTACCTGTGATCTCATAACAGTTTTCGCTGCAAAAGAAATATGATGATTAGTTTGTGAAGCGTCCAACCTGACTTTTGCTGAAAACAAGAAAAAGTTGTCTAAAAAAGTTGTTTGAAGGGCTTAGCTTCATGAGGGGGTGCTTATACAAAGCAAACACCAAACTAGATATACAGGCCATGTCCAATATTAGTAAAACTAATTTGTGTAAAGTTTTTGTGATCAAAAAGATCAGAGAAGCCTAACAAAAAGCCACGATAGCGTGCGTAATGAAAAATTTATTCAGACAATCCTTTCATAACTGAAGCAGATACGAGGATGTGTTGGGACAGATTAAAATATTGAGCTAAGACTACATCTTACGGTAGCTAAGGAAGTGTCGTAGGTATTGATACGTAGATAGCTCAAGTAAGATAGCTAAATCAGCAATCTTTTTTCTTCTAAACGTCTTTCAGACGCTGTTTTAAAATGATTTCTTTGCGTACTGCTAGCACTTTGGCGTTTATCTATCTGTCTATATAGTCTCGTATACCTCTGGCTACTCTCGTGATCACGTCTCTAACTTGGGGTTAACCAAAATTTGTATGGCAGGGTAAGACGGGTATGAATAATACGACCCGTTGTTCATGACATGAATAATGTCAAAATTCAGCTACGTACGTCCTAAAACACTTTTAACCAGACAGCGACACGTACCCGAGGGCTGGTACGTGCCACTAGTGACTGACACTTCAAAAGAAAAAAAACGCCAGGCCTTCGCGTAAGGCTAGGCACAATCACAGCGAGAGCTATAAAAGCGGCCTTTCAGAGCCTTTTCTAAACACTCATTGGGTATTTAATACAAGCGTATTTGCTGGATACCCACTACAGCATTATTACTAAATTTTTTTGTTGTAGGCCGGCATTCGCTATGCTATTTTCCTTCATTCTTCTGAGAACTGTCGTATCTTCTAAACACTTGCAAGGAATCTTGTGCCAATTGTTCACGCAGTGGGTGACCAAGATGAGAAATTACGCCTGAAGTGCGTACGTGCCACAGTTATAAGGGAACAAGAACAAACTTTTGTAATGGGTTGGAGCATTGTACGACCCACTCGTTACGCTATTCGCATTGTGCGAGGACTGGTTGTTCTTTCACTGTTTCATAGGGACACTAAAGTCAAATAACAATTTATGTCAGACTGAAAGCTCAATGTATGAAAACATCTAAAACGACAATAGTATCAACAACAGCGCCATACTTACCAAGAAACTTAGGTAAATGCACAAGAACACATGCACCGTAGTAGGACATTTCATAAACAATCGCGATAACATCAGACGGTTCGCCTACAATTAATCACTGGTAATTGATCTAGTTACACTAAATAAAAAACCTTCCGTGCATCAAAGACGCACTAAAATGCTGCCTGTTTGTTTCTGTTTGATTCACGCAGAAAAGAACCACCAGACGTTTCATAGGGGAGTAGCGCGATGGCGCGAGTGGTTCGAAAATTCAATTTTCGCGTAATTACACTGGAGAGGTAGTGTCGTCTAGCGTGGCGCAGTTGAACTGAAAAAAAAAAAAAAACGTAAGCAATCTTGAAGCGAATAGTGGGAAGTTGACCAATGGCCGTCGTTGCTGCTGTGGCTCCCACTGTGTTCGGTCTGCTGCTACTAGTGCAGTAAAGCCGGACAACATTGTGCACGGCAACAGTGACGTGAGTCGGTCGGGTCAGTCAGTTTCTTGAGGCGGGCATTTTGAAGTGCGCTAACGCAATGCGGACCACTAAAACGTGATTATATTTCAAAATAGGCCCTTTTGGCAACAAAAGTAACACTGCGAGGTTTCTGAATCTCTATTTCAACAATCAACGTCCACCTAATAGTTGCCATAGATGTCCCTTTAAAATGCTTTA